CCCCCCCCATTCTGTAGCACCTCAGCTCCGTACACACTTCTGTCCTTGATGTTTTCTTCTTTATAGCCAGGGGACTCCTTCCTGGTTGAATAGGTACAAAAGGGATAAGGAGGGAGTGGGGGAGGGTAGGAAGGCACCCTGTGGCTGGATCCTTCCAGCATTTGAAGAAGTGGATTAGCCTATGACTAACTGTTTAAAGGGAAAGAAAATAAGATAAAGTGCTTGTCTTGAGGTTGGAGGACTCACGGGAGATGATAAACAAGGATTAGGCTACAGGTAAGACTACCCACCCTGTCCTATTCATGACCAGATCCTAATTTCATATCAAGTGTCCTGTATACCCCTCTGAAAGACAAACTAAGCCCCCTTATTTCTCTGCTCTGCGTTGTTTCCAAGAGAGGTAAATATAAACTCAGGAGACCTGGAAAAGCCCTCCCGGGACAGAAGAGCCGTGGAGGTCAGGGCTGCCTACAATACAGTGGCAGTCCTGTCACCTTTGTTTGCATTTTTGTTTGCTTTCCTTGTTGACTTTAATTCATTCAAAATGACAAGTCATGGTTTTCATAAGGTTAGCACAAAAGCACTCTCTTTACCCACCCTCCTACCCAACCCCCCCATCCACCCCCACCCCACGCACAAATGAATAAATAAAATGAGAGAGAGAAGGGCTTCACAGTCACCTTGGTTTGGGGAAATTGAGGTGAACTACTTCTTTCCAGACTTGGCTAACTTGGCTAGGGGAAGGGAAGCAGGAATCCTACAGCATTTGCTAGATCTTTGTGATCCTGGCCTTGCTCTTTGTTGTTAGTGTGTTTGCAAGGGGGCATTTTGTTTCATGAATTCATAGTAAAATTTTCAGGAAAATGACTGCTCATTAGCACTAATGTGATTGAGAATCGTAGACTGGAAGTTTTACACTTGCCCCATTAACAGTTTCAGTGTGTCTTTAGACCGCAGTGTGAGACAGTGGTGGAGCAAGCTCATTCCTGCTCCTCGGCGGATTTGCTCTCGTGTTGCCATTCCCTGGTCATCGACTACCGATTCAAGGTCTCTGGTGGACTAGGCCATCTCAGCCCTGCTCCCATCAGGCTCACTGCCTAAAAGGAAGCAGTGGCAGACATAGCCATTTTGTTCATGAAACCTTTCCCCCAAGCAAAGAAGTACCACTAGGAGAATGCGGGTAGAACATTCCAAATGCCGTGCGCTCTTTAGCAAGTGTACACGCCCCATGGGATGCCACCGTTTATTCTTCTGTATAATGGAGTCAGTATTAATTAATATCTGACAGACTTACTCAGATGTGTGTGAAGCTCTGAGGCAGAGTACCCATGCATAGATGTTCCCTTTGCATCTGCCATGGATCCATTGAGGAAAATGTGGACACTTTATAGTTTTTCATTGTATTAATGTTGAGTTCTTTTGTTCTCGTTATTTGCAATTGCTTATGTCCATGTAGTAAAGAAAACTATACGAGCTAGTGGATATTTCATGAGAGCATTCATCCTCTGCTTGTTCTAGATAGGATTGTGCCTAGACAGACAGATGGTCTCTCTTCAAACCTGGCCATCCCAGCATGGTTAGCATGGCTACTCCATGCTCTCCTTCCCCTTCAATCTGTTCTAACCCCACACCACAGCACTTCGAAATGGCTTTTATTTATTCATTGTGTTCAGTTACTAGCCTTGTTCCTAAGGCAGTTGTCCTACATTGGTTGCCTCTCGCTTTAGCTGGAGGACATAGAATTGGAGCTTAGAGTACAGTAAATGAGGTGTAAGATCCCACTTCAGAATTCGCAGAATTGTCTGTTCCTTCAGCAAAGAATGGCTGCCAGGTGTCATCAGTGACTAGCATCACTAGACACGGAGCATCCAGGACACCAACCTACTAGAAGTAGCAACTGCCAAGTGTTAGCGATAAGTGTAAGCAAAAACTGGGTGAATTGTGTGGGTGGCACTGGCTGGTGTCAGAGTGGCATGAAGTCTGTGCTTCTGGTACCATTCTCCTGTGCTCACCGGTGTAGTCTCAGCACCACAGAGGGGAAGTCTCTCTGGCCCTCTCAGGTCCTTTCACTTTGGTGGGTTGGCTCCTAAAATTTGTTATGGCCCATTGAGAGGAGTATCACATGTGGATGTATGAGGGGTTAGTGACCTTAAATGATGCTTCTTAGTAGCTTCTGAATTTATGAGGTTGTCAATGGCCACCTCAGCCAAGGAGTGCCGAAGGAGGAGTGGCAGGTGCCGCTCACATTTCCCAGTGCGCACTGTGCTCGTGTCCACTTGCGGAAAGGACTTCATACCATGTAGATTCGCATTCTGTACATAGCACAAGCATGGCCCCACTAAGCAGCAAGTCATTTGTGATCTTAAATGGTCTGCCTTTGGCTACAGTGTGTTTCATCAGTTATTATCCATATGTTGCTAGATGGTCAAAACATGCCTTTAATGCATATTATTCCACCAATAATCCCACCAAAGAAATTCCTACTTCACACTACAGGCCATTTATTCATGTGCTTCACTAATACGTGTCCTATCAGAGTTGACTGTGAGTTAAAAGAGCACTGTTTGCATTTCTCTTTAAAGTCCAGAAACGAACAGGTGCCTACATCAGAGTTCTGGACATGGAAATGCTCATTCTATTTTTGGCCACAAGTGCCTAACAATGTAATTTTCACTGAACTTTAGGAAAAAGAGTGCAAATTCGGAAAGCGCCTCAAGCTGTAGCAGACGCAGTGCCTGAGAGGAAAAGGTCAACTCCCATGAATCCTGCAAATACGATTCGCAAGACACACAGCAGTGGCAGTGTGTCTCAGCGGCCATATCGAGACAGGGTGGTTCACTTACTGGCCCTGAAGGCCTACAAGAAACCTGAACTGCTTGCTCGATTGCAGAAAGATGGCGTCAATCAAAAAGACAAGAACTCCCTTGGCACAATTCTGCAACAGGTGAGGACAGCTGGGGAAAGGGCCTTCCACTTACCTTTGCGTTTAGGAGTCCATTCAAGAAGACTTGTAGTTGACGTTGTTAATATTATTATTCAAACAGTCTTTTTTTTTCTTAACCATTTCTCATGTTCCTGAAAGATGAAGACCATAGTCTCTAATTCCAGGCTAGCCACTTCCCAAAGTAACTCAGGCAATCTCCAGAATCTTAAAGTTAACTCGTGTTGAGAGCATTTTAGAACTACTTAAATTAAATCTGCATATTACATGGGACGTTCAAGACATCAGTAGGCAGGCTGAGAAAATGAGTGGGGATACGAGCAAGTGTGCACATTTGTAGATTTGGGGGAAGGAACTTGGACTTCTCAGAATAGAGCAGAAAACTAAGAAAACCTGGAGAAGGGGTAACGACTTGAATGGGAAAGTGTGGGGACGTCTTTCTCACGCCAACATCTTAGCCGAAATGAAACAATCAAGAGAAGAGTTTGGTATGTTCAAAGAAGAGAGAAGCCAGTATGTCTGGAGCCGAGTGAAGAAGAGGGCAAATCACAGAGGCCCTTTCTAGGTCATTGGCTCGGAATTTGGATTCTGTTTTCCAGTGTGACGGAAATTCATCAAAGAATTTTATACAAGGGTATTATGTACTCTATCTTTACATGATTTATACTTTTTAAATAGTACCACTCAGACTTCTGTGGCAAGAGTGAATATGGGGGTGGGGGCAAGGCAAGAGAAGGAGAGAGAGACTGCTTAAAGGAGCCTGTTTCCGAAGTGCAGGTGAAAAGGTGAATGGTGGCTTGGCCTCGTGGGGATAGTAGAGAAGGTTTATCAAATTTGTTATATATTTTGTGGCACGCATATATTTTGTGCTAAAGTGGGTGAGTATGGATGAGGTTAAGGGAAATAATAGAATCTGTGGCACTCTGGTGTCATTCTGTTGAATCACAGTGATTCAGAGAAGATAATGAAGAAAACGACAGAATACAGCCCTGAACATTCTAACGGGAGATTCAGGAAAGAATATTTTGAAAAAGAAAGTTCTAGTGCAGAATGTTCTAGTACAGAAGCTGAGACAAAGAGCCTATGAGGGCAGGATGTTAATATAAGTAGTACCAAGGATAATAGAAAACCTGAGTGATTGGATTCATTACACTTTAAGAAATTTGGTTTTATCTTATATTAACTCATTCGTAATTTTAAATTTTAATATAAGTACCATATAGACTCGTGTATAAGCCGAGTTTTTCAACACATTTTTAATGCAGTTTTTGTGGTAAAATAAGGTACCTTGGCTGATATTCAGGGGGGTGCTTATACTGGAGTATATACAGTATATCATTTTCTGCTTGGTTGCATTAGTGTTAGATTAATAATCAGTTGAGCTATAAAAAAAGCTTCAAATTATCATGTAATAGTATTATTAAAAGAGTAAAAATTTAAGTCACTAAAAACAACATTTCAGGAGGAAATGACAGGTAGGAATACCTTTTTTCGGTTAGATACCTGAACCTGTGCATTAGTGTAGGTAATAGAACATATTCTGGGAAACACTCCAAATTGTAGTTGATCATTATGAAAATACTGCATTTAGGAATAAAATGACTGACTAATAAATTGGAGGGGGGCATATGTTTTTTTATATATTGGTTTTGTAGTATTTCAAGGTCTCTGATTCTTCAGAAAAACTGACGAAAACAAGGAGTTAATTTGACTATCTGAAACATAATAGACAAAGTTATTAAAATTAATACTATTTATGGAGATAATTTCTGATGATATCTGAAAAGAAAACTTATAGTTCAACATTTGATCATTGGTTCTTGATACAAGTGATTAGGGATTTATATTGTCGCTTTCAAAAGTAGTGGGTGAATGAGCAGAAACTAAAAATACTACTATTTTTAAGATTCCTTTGACTATGAAAATAAAACTGATTAAGAAACATATTTTTCCTCCTCTTTTTCCTAACTTTAGCTTATTATCTGAGTAGAAAAATTGGTAAATGTAGTGGCTATTCAAGGGGGACAAAGTGTGTGTACACAAAATGAAGCTGAATGACAGTTATTGAAATCAGCATGTATAAAACGAACAATCCCTTTGAACCAATTGGTATAGTTATTTTTCCTATAGACCCTTTAAAAGATGACCTGTTTTAGGTTAGGAAATAGTAAAAAGGTCTAATGCTGTGTTTCTATCTTGTGCTAGGTGGCCAATCTGAATCCTAAAGACCTCTCCTATACCTTAAAGGATTATGTATTTAAAGAGATTCAAAGAGACTGGCCTGGATACAATGAAATAGACAGACGGTCACTGGAATCAGTCCTCTCTAGGTAAGTCCTTTTTTTCTCCCTCTAAAAATGAAGCAGATAGGTAATTACTTTAGTTCTTGGTATTCTAGTGCTCAGGTGGGGAAAAGAAACAAGGGTAAGCTTTCTTTCACGAACATTTAAAAATTCTTTCTCTCCATAACTTGGAACATGTGTGTCCTTTACAGAAAACTAAATCCATCTCAGAATGCTGCTGGCACCAGCCGTTCAGAATCTATTTGTTCTAGTAGAGACGCTGCACCTTCTCCTTCTCAGGTATTTTATAAAATTATAGACTCATAGACCTGAAATGGACCTTTAACCCCACTGACTGATAAGTGAGAGAGATGAGGCCCAGAGAAGTTGCACAGCTTGCCTGCCCAGAGTCAGACAGCGAGGTTGTGGCAAAGCTGGATCTAGAATCCAGGTTCTCAGTTCCCAGCCCAGAAACCGTCACTATATAGCTCTATGTTATCGAAGTGTTTTATTGTGTATCTTACTTTCCCATAAGAGCTCTGGTGGTGTAGTGGGTTATGCATTGAGCTGCAAACCACAAGGTCAGAAGTTCAAACCCACCAATCACTCCACTCCAGAAAGATGAGCTGTCCACTTAAGTGAAGTTACTAAAGTCTCGGAAACCCAAAGGGAGCAGTTCTACCTTGTCCTGTAGGGTTACTATGAGTCAGAAGTGGCTCATTGGCATTTAGTTTGGATTTTGCTTTTCCATTTCCAAAGTTTACATTTTGTGGTAAGATTATATGCTTTTCCATTTGGACACTAGCTAGTCCCATGAGTCTCAGATTTTATAGAAAATTAAAAATAGTTCATTTTCCTGAAATATAGTCCAGAAAAATATTCTTGGGGTGGGGTTAAAGGGGACATGTTTATGTAAATTTTTCATACATGTGTTCTTAAAGCACTTCCCAATTGATTCCCAGTCAGAAACATCCCCATTAGACTTTATCCGAGATTCAGCCCATCTGGGAAAAAAGTGGGGGGTTCCTGGGCCATACTTGTTGAGTGAGGTCAAGCCGGGGTCTTATATTTCACCCTGAAACTCACTCCATCTCCAGGTCCTTAAGACTAACCTTGGGATAAGCCCTCCTCCTCCTTCCCCCACCTCTATACTGCTGAATGCCCTTCCCTACCTAAAGCGTCCTCCCAAGAATTAAGGAGAAGCAGACAGATGTGTGGAGAACAGTCAGCATGCCTTGTGCAGAAGGCTATTCACATGGCAGCTGTATTCTAAGACTGTCACCCAGGCCTTCCTCAGCCGTAGAAAATGTTAGAAACCCATTGGGAGGAACAGATGGGGAACAGAGGATAAAAGGAGAGTGGGGCTTTTAGCCTGGCACATATATTGTCTATAAAAGCTTCACTCTTAAGGCCAACTATTTTGAAGCTCATTGTACTCTGATCTGATTTTATAGTGGGTACTAATAATTGGTGCCAAAATGAAAACAATAAATTAATGGGTTGATTAACTATCTTCTTTCAAGCTACAGTAGCACATTGTATTTATGTTTTGTACTTTTTTGTTTTATACTCTTTGATGGTCTGAATTTCCTTTTTTAATTTAAAAGCTTTTGTTATTATTGCTGGATTGAGCTAATATTGACATGATTTGAGTTTTTAAATGTTAATGTCATATCATTTTGGTGGGCCAGTTATTAAGGCTTACCTTCTAACTAATGAAAAGATATTTAAGAGGGGAAAAATACTGAATATTATTTCTACAACTAGGGAGATACTTAAGAGATTACTCTGAAAGTGCTAGTTGTTCCCATTTTAAGACCAATGGAATAATAATTGACAAGCAAAATATTCATTGCTGGAGCATTTTAGCACGTTAGAGGAAATTTCAATAGTGTTGGCCTGTTCCCCTTTACCTGCCCTTGTTAGTTCTCACTCAGTGAAATGGTACAAATCCCTTCCTTCTCTCACTTAATATATCTAGGTCAAAAGAGGCCAACACAGGAAGGTAGCCACTTGTATTGAATGTGTGTCTGTGTGATATAATCCACATGAATGGGCAGAGTCTCTAGGAATTTAATTTGAGGAGCTATGATCAGTCAGAAATTGAATAAGTACTCCAAAAAAGATATTTGTCAGATTCTGCTTTTGACAGTAGACTCAACATTTGTTTTACTAAACTCATATTTCCTTAACTTTAAGTTAGAGATACTTAAAACACCTCAGTAATAAATTCAAATATGATCAAGATGACCAGTGTTCATATGGTGACCAGTCACTCGGGTCTTGAAAAGATTTTCTTACAAATCAGCTCATTTTGTTTCTTTTTCTCTGTATTTTTTCCAGAAACGGCTTTTGGATTCCGACTTCATTGATCCCTTAGTGACTAAAAAAGCTCGAATCTCCCACCTGACAAGTAGAGTACCGCCAACACTAAATGGCCATTTGAACCTCACTGGTGAAAAGGCTGCAGGTCTCCCGCTGCCCCCTGCAGCTGCTGCCATCCCTGCCCCTCCACCGCTGCCTTCCACCCACCTGCCCATCTCCAAGCCTCCGCAGACTGTCAATTCTAACTCCAACTCCCCTAGCACTCCAGAAGGCCGGGGGACTCAAGACCTACCTCTTGACAGCTTTAGTCAAAATGGTAGCATCTATGAGGACCAGCAAGACAAATATACCTCTAGGACTTCTCTAGAAACCTTACCCCCTGGTTCAGTTCTACTGAAGTGCCCCAAGCCTATAGAAGAAAACTATTCAGCGTCTCACAAGAAGTCCAAAAAGAAGTCAAAAAAACACAAGGAAAAGGACCAAATGAAAAAGCAGGATATTGAGACCATGGAGGCAAAGGAGGAGGAGGACGAGGACCTGAAAAGAGAAGAGGAAATTGCCAAGCTAAATAACACCAGTCCCAATTCCAGTGAAGGTACTTTCCATTTGTGAAAAACTGACTGCATAGGTTACATGAACTCGCAGCACATGCTAGGAATATGCTATTAATAATCAGTAAGATTTGTTTGCCAAGTTAGTTTCTGTTCGTTATTAATCTTATATTGCACTTTGGGGCCAAAATTGTCTTGCTTTTTTAGAACAGTCATTTTCAGTCTTTACCAGTTAACCAATCATGAGCACGGTTCCTATATTTGTTAATAAGGTGATGATATTTGAAAATAGCCCTGTTATCCTTCAGAGACTTCCTCTTAGAAGGTGGACTTTGTTGCTCTTTTCCATCATTCTTATGGTATTGTGCAACCTCAAAATGACCTCAAATACACCATTCTTGAGCTGATGTCACCACATGCGATTAATTAATTAGCAATAAGAATATTAATTTCCTTCTTTCCAAAGAACCAGGGTCACTCTTGCTTTAATTAATATTAGCACAGTGGAAATGTCAAACCCTTTATAAAACAGGCAAAGTAAAATTACATTTGCAGATCCACAACATCATCTTCATTCACAGTGAAAACAATTTGTCTTTTACAAGGCTGTTGGCTCAATAATTCTTAAGGACATTTTCTTTTTTTTCCCCCATTCTGAGAGTCCTTTAATAAAGGACACCAATTGTTTTACATAAAATTAACTATTTCGAGATCTAACAAGTTTAAAAACCAATATACAGTGGCCCAAAGAAGCTTACAAATAACACTTTATCTCTAAAGAAAAATCCATTTATAAGAAATATTATTTTTCTGAAGTGACCTGGTCTTTAAAATATGCGAATGACAACATTAGGGTTTTCTTATATATTAAAAAACAAAAATACTCTAAAACTTTAATGTCTTGCATACCACGGCAGTGCAGAACCACCAGCCACTCCGAGGAAAAAATTGGAGGCTTTCTACTCCCATAAGGAGTTACAGTCTTGAAAACCCGCAGAGGCACTTCTAGGAATTGGAATCAACTCAGTGCTAATGAGTTTGGTTGGGGTTTTCTGGTTGTTGTTGTCCTTTTATAAACCAACCAAACCCACTGCCAATTCCACTTCACAGCAACCATTTACCGTCAGTTGTTTCCAAGGCTATTCAATCTTTACAGGAGCCAGGAGCCTCACCTGCTTGAAGCAGAGCACCTGGCAGGTTGGAACCACCGACCGCTCTCAACAGCACCCACAGAGTCCCTTCATCCCAAATAAGTGGGGCAAGACTAAGGTGACCAGTTGTTCGCTTTTGGCGGGGCAGTCCCGATTTTTGACGTATTAAAAAAGTCCCGATTTTTGGAAAGAATGCACGACAAGCTAGGGAACAGTCTATTTGGTCCATATAGACCAAATTTTTCATCAAGAACCACCACCCCCCACCCCTGTCAATGGTGGCCCACTTTAAATCTGGTCACCTTAGGCAAGACACCCCAGAGCATCAGGATAAATGTCTTTCTGAATTTGCCATAATACAGAAAGTCTATTTAATTGAAACCATTTGTAGAGACGCTTTGATTGATTGATTTCAGTAGAAAATCTAATGGAGTTATAGAAGTAGTACAACATAGTACCTTTTCCTTATTTTGTTGACCTGGATTGACTATATTGTATGTCAAAGCATACCTGTTTAAATGTTTAAATCGGTCTAATACTGTATTAATGGCTAGAGAGGTACAAATAAGTTTTCATCCTCAAACACTATTGTATTTTCATTTGTTGATCAGGAAAAGGGCATGAGACAGTAAGATCCCCACGTTTCGGGTTTCTAAGCTAGGCTGCTGGGGGTACTCCAGTCTCTTCTCTCCACATGCCCAGCCTCAGATAGCGATCTTCACTAGAGGTCAGTGCTGAAGGGCTAGATTCCAGGGTGTTGAGACCTACACTATGATTAAACATGTTCTCAGGGTTGGCTCCCTGGAGAAGCAGATGGAGTCCCTTTCGATCCCTCACTGAAGTAGTAGTACCTTTGAGAGCCAACCAAGGTTAGAGCAAACCGAGGAAGACCTAGACCTACAACCCTGCATCTGAGACCTGCGCTTCAGACCTTTTTTGTTGTTGTTACTGATTTTTGAGACTCAGGCTCATGATCTTTTACCCAAGCCTGAGCAGTCTATACTACATTGAGATGCTTCATGTTTTAAATAATAAAATGATAAATTATCAAATAATCACCTTTATTTTATCATCGGTGTGAATGTTTTCACAGCAGGCAGACTTAGAATTTGTTATGAGTTTCACTCTACTCTGAATGCTAAAAAAAGAAAGAAAATCATCCTAATATAAAGAAAATCTAAACATAGCCTCTGGAAACGTTGTGTTCAAACAAATGGAATCCAAAGGATTTTACCCACTTGTACATAGTTTTGAATGATGGGCACATCATTTTTCTGTAATTAAAAAAACTGTGTTAGTAATACAACTGGAGAGGACAGGAGTGTAAATCAGGGCTCCGTAATACTTTATTTTTAGTACTATTAAACTGATGGGAAAACCTCCTCCCCAATTCTGCTGTCTGCATACAAAAAGGAGAGCAGTAAAAAATACTGTGACCAAAGCAGTCTGCTACCTGACTTTATTGCCTCATCTGCCTTGCTTGGCTCCCATGAAAAGTACATGTTGATGTAAAATTCGTATCTCCCATTGTCTGGCTGCATCTGCCACCGCAGTCTTTGAATTGCTGGGCAGATGCCACAACCGTTGCTGGAAGAATGGAAGATTGACCTTGGGTTAAGATGGAATTCCTTCATTGTGCAGACACTGCAGTAGCCTGGGTGTTTTAAATGCCCGGCGTCAGTTCTGCTGGCGCTGGTCATAGGGCTTCTATTGTTTGTGCTCAATTGTATTCCTTGCTCACTGTTGCTTATTGAAATGGAAGAATAGAATTTGAGAGAAAGTATTCCAGATGTTTCTGATCTATTTTGGAATTATAGGCATTTTATAACTATAATGGTTGATGAACACACTAATTTTTCTTTCTATCTTTCTTTGTAGGAGTTAAAGAGGTTTGCATTGCCCCCACGGAGCCTTCTTCCACAATTGAACTCCCAGATTATTTGATGTAAGTTCAGATGCCTGCCAATAGGAGAGAGCAGTTTAATTTTAGAAAGTTTGCGAATTCTTTTCCCATAATTTGCAAATCAGAAAAGAAGTTCCAGAAATAGAGTACTGGAACCACCCCTGCAATTGAAAGGCTGCCATTAAGCCTCCTAGGCCCCAATCCACTCTTGTCTGCCTGAGCAGGTTGCCCCCACAGTACACACACACACACACACACCCCCTCCTGAGGGTGTTCCTTGGCCTGTTAAGTATAGAGACGCCTGTTCTTTGTTCCATGACCAGGCCAAGCATTTGATTAGGGAAAATTTCAGGGGTCTGATTCTTCAAAGCTGACACCCTTTCAATGCATGGTCCTTGACTTGCCCCCACCCCCACCCGCCAAAGGGATGGCTTATTACTGAGAAACTGCTTGGGCTACTACATTTCACACAAAACAGAAATATATTGGCTTTTATTTTAATAAAGCATTGCCTTCAAATTAATTTTAACAGGAGGGTCTAGTACAATTTGGTCATTTCATTTTAGTACTGATTATAATGTTTTATCCTGTTATGACAACAAGTTGCTAAATGCTGAGCTGAAGACATTTTAGTAACTGGTTATCACAGAAATTATAACCTAGACACATAATTCTAGCCTTTTTACCAAATCAAAGGCCTCTGTAAGCGGAAAATAATTAAGTTGCAAGAGCCTGAAAAAATGAGAGTGAAAGCACAAGCAAATCTGACTGTAATGGCTTTGAAAATGAGCAAATGTGCAAAATATGTAGACTGTTGAATGAAAAATAGAACTGAGACAGCTCAGACATTATATTTTTTCCTATTAGTAGCTTCTCATGTTGGATGATAACTCTGTTGCTTGGCCCTTCATGTCCCATGAAATGTTCAGAGTGTAAACATTCCTAGACTTAAAAAAATGAGTTACTTTTGCTTTAGTGGTAGTGTGAGAGCTGTATTTGGGGGGAATGATCATACCCTGAAGCCTGAATGCTGGTTACCATCTCATAACTGAAAGGCACGCATGAAACCGTGCTGAAAAGCCCCATCTGAGGTCATGGACGGTGTCAGAGTACAGTGGGGGAACCTTAGAACGCAGCCCGACCAGCCGGACCTGGAAGGGCCTTACAGCAGGCAGGCTTGGAGGGACAGTGCCCCGCTCCACTGCTGAGAAGGTTCCCGGTTCGTGACTGCAAACCCAGCTCTGTTGATCATCTTTGGAAAGTCAGCCCTCTCACATAATAAATCATTAGTACTACAGCCTAACTTTCTATGATAAATGACAAATCGGTCATTTTTAATATAATATATATGCTAAGCCTCTTCTTTCTCTGTGGATTCGCTAGTGATTTTGAACCTGACCTAGCAGTTAGCAACCCCATATGTCACCATGACACCACCAGGACTCCAGGATGTGTACACACTGTGTACAGTAAATTCCTGTGGGGAGACGATATAAGTAGTTTAAACCATTTCTCAATGGTTTCAGATGGAGGTTTTTGGTATTATTTTAAATTGCTGTGTTTTCCCAACTGTAGTTTGAAAGAAAAATTTCAAACTATGGATCTATGGATGCTTGCTGCAACCTCCTAAATGCATTCCTATGTTCTTTTAAAAACCTACTAAAGGATATAAATGATGTGGTTACTGTGCCTCATATGTTTGCTTGATTTACTTAAATAAGTATATTTTTAATTTTTTAAATGGTTTTTAACCAATTTATTCTAGTTCAGACCCCTGCTGAGGATTTGCATTTCTGCCCTTGTACACTGAATCAGAATCTACATTTTAACAAGATCCCCAGGTGCTCCTTAGAGATCCTCTGGCGAGTATTCTTATGTATACATTCTCAGCAGGAGACGGAACCAGAGGGAACCAGTTTTAAGCCCTGAAAAATCAGTCTTCTATAAATGCAGCCAATTTTATAAAAAACAATGAGAAAGCATGAATTTTTAAAACTCAACCATAAATCCTTAAGCACTTAAACTTAAGTTGCTTCAGGAGAAAACAAAAGTGATATACTACAAAATCTTAACGATCAGCCTCTCAATAACCCATATTTAACCACAATATACCTAATTTTTATGTAATATAAAAACCTTTTGGTGGTGAATAATCCAGTTTCTTCTGTTGAACATTCTATTCCATTACTGCATAAGTGCTAACTCAAGACCAATAGCAACTTTTGTTATAGACAGTAAACTGCTCTTAGTTATAATAGAAGTATCACTAACCCAAGTGTCACCTGTTATAGTACTGTACCTGTTGGCAAGTGTGGTGTTTTACCTAAGAAGATGATTAAATAAAAGACTGAGAGTGCATGCAGCCTTGGGCATGATTTGGAGAAAGGGGGATAAGTGTTCTTTGCTTTTGTCAGTTGCCATCTATTCGATTCCTCCTCTTGATGGACAGACCGGAGTGTGTAGAATAACACAGAGCTACAGGGCTCCCCTGGTTGTGACCCTTCAGAACAGGTTGCCAGCAGAGCTGACTCCCAAGGCACCTTGGACTGGGGTTGAACCCCCGCTGAGTTAGTTAATTGTGCCAACCTGGCCAATAATCACATGTGGGGCTAATTGAAAGGCAGAAGGATAAATGGGTGGTGAGCCTCGCCTTTCTAGTTCTCTGGTCTCTTGCTTTGTGATGGTCGCACCAGGTTGCAGCTGCCTTAGCAGTTCCCTGCTTCAGCTTGCAAGATTGACTTCCTACAAGTCATCCCCAAGGAGAAGCCACATGGACCTATCCCAATGCAGCCCTGGGTGCTGGAGCAGCCTTGTGGAGACTCCTGCTAGTGCTGAGATGCTTATTCGTTCACTGACTCAGCTTTCCTCCTGCAGTCGGCATCATTGCCTCTGTTTTGGGAGGTGGAGGACTTTGTGAACTGGTGTTGGGTTAATGGGTTAATGTTGGACTTGTGGGCTTGGGCAGCATTGGGTTGGGATATTTTCGCGATGCACACTTTCTTTACATAAAACTCTCTTATACGTGAGTTGCTGTGGATTTGTTTCTCTAAAGTACCTAGACTGATACACCCGCCATCGTTACTTAACCATTTGCACGCCCTGAGGACCTTAAGTACATGCTATATAACAAATTAAGCCTGGGTTCCAAGATCAGTTTAGCTATTATGCTTATTGCCGCTGGTTTCCAGAAGGGTTTCTTCTGCCCGGGCTGCCTCTGGTGTGTAATGGAGACAGCCTGTGTACAGCAAGGCTGGGTGTGCTGCCAAGCTGGCTGTGTTCCTTTTACAGCCAAGACAGCAGCAGAGCAGCTTTAAATCTGCATGCTCCACGGTCTCCGTGACACTTAGAAAAGTAAACCTCTATTCTGTCTAGCTCGGCATGAATAAAAATATTAACGAGGACATTAAGCTTGCTCACTACATCACTTTTCTCACATTTCCAAGTAGACATCTGTGGCATAGCAATTTAAGTAAAGTTAGGATTATATAAAAACGTTCTGGAGAGAACTGACCTCTGAGATTTCTTCCATAATAAAGAATATACTCTAAGGGGGCATTTCAAAGCTTCTACCACCTGATTTTATCTTTTTCTCTTTTGTTTTAATTTTCATATTGGGGATTACCTCAGATGTATTTTGTCACTGGGGGTAACCCTGTTGAATTGTGACATGTTTTTCAGCATTTGAAACCCACGGTCGATGACCCTGTAGAGACAGCAAGTAGAATAAGGGCTCCGGTGGGTACAGTGGAGGAGCGGGGTGGGTGAAGGGGAGCTGATGTCAAGGAGTTTAAGAAGGAAGAGAATGTTTGGAAACTGATTGTGGTAGCAGTTGTACAGTACTGCTGGACGTGATTGAACTATGAAATGATACAATATCTATACGAGCTCCCAATAAAATGGGTTTGGAAAAGAAAAGAAAAAAAGTTCACAGAAGCTGAGAACTGATCCTAGAGATATAGCCTGTCACTAAGAGATCTTCTGAGGAGCAGAATACAGTGCATTAACCAGGGAAAGGAGCCGTCCCTGAAATCCAAACCAACATGCTGGATAGAGAATAAAAGCAACAACAAAACTTTTTTTTAAAGTCAAGGGTATTTTGCTTTCTTTGTCAGAAACACAGGCCAAGCCCCACATGATTCCAGCCCCCAAATCCACTAATGAATATTAAGTTAATTTTTTTTTTTTAATTTTCATTTTAAAATGCTATCTTCATTGCCTTACCACTGAGTAAACTAACACTCTGAGAAGAAGGGCTTCACTCACCAAACCCTTAGATCAGCGGTTCTCAACATGTGTTGAGAACACATGGGGTCGCCTAAGACCATCAGAAAACACAAATATTTTGTAATATATAATTACAATATTGTTTTGTGTTTAATCACTATGCTTTAATTATGTGTAATGATATTCAGTTTGTAACAATGAAAATACATCCTGGATATCAGATGTTTACATTACAATTCATAACAGTAGCAAAATTAAAGTTCTGAAGTAGCAACGAAAATGGTTTCATGGTTGTGTGTTACCACACCATGAGGAACTGTATTAAAGGGTCACGGCATTAGGAAGGTTGAGAACCACTGCTTTAGATGTTTTCCCGCCTTACCCCAGTTGTGTAGCATCTTTTGAAGAAGCTGAACTCGCAAACACTGGCTTTCCTGTACATGGTGTTTAAGTGTTAAAAAAGGAACTAGGAAAAGTATACACCTTCTTTTTCTGTTTCTCAGCTATTTCTTATTTTTAAAATTCTCCTTGATCGTGTATATTTGCTTAGTCAGAAATGTGATGAATGCGATGTGAAAACGAAGCCAACCTAGGACCAAGCCTCATTAGAAACTCCTGCTAGCAGCAGGTCTGAAAGGACAGACCTGGTAGAGCAGCCAGTCCAAGAGGACCTTGGATTTCAACACTTAGGGACTGTGTGACATTCTCTGGGTTTCACATTACCACCGAGGCCTGTCTCATGTGACGTAACAGATAGGCTACTGTCAGTTTTGTGGTGAATTATTGTGTACTGAGGAAGGTTTAATAAGCAAGATCTCTGCGAGTGTTCTTTGTTTTTTACACAGATGCACTGTAATTCCATGTCTTTGCATGTTTACCCTTCCTCGGGGAAGCTTAGTCTCTCCTGTGTGGTAATTTCACATGGAAGACCTTTGAAGTAGTACTTTTTCAGATGACATGATAACACACCATTGGCCAAGAGGCATTAACTACTAGTGTTAGTTTATGAGTATTGTTTATAAATGCTTGTTTTAAATCTTTTGATTTATATAATCACATTATTCTGTAGCTACTCTCCATTTATCTTTCTTCTCTTAAACCTTTGCAAACAGAAAATATATCGCGATTGTCTCCTATGAGCAGCGCCAGAATTACAAGGATGACTTCAATGCTGAATACGATGAGTACAGGGCCTTGCATGCCAGGATGGAGACTGTGGCCAGAAGATTTATCAAATTAGATGCGCAACGGAAGCGCCTTTCCCCGGGCTCCAAAGAATATCAGGTACGTGCATTTGTTCCCAGATGATCTAACATGCATATTCTGCCTTCTTTCTCTCCAAAGGTGCATCTTGGGAACCACCAAAGTATTTAGTTCCACTGCCAACTCAGATTTTTGCTCCTAGTTCTAGTACTGTCCCCAATAAGCTGTGCTGTTTCTGCCTGGTATAGAATAGAGAACACATGGACTATGGGCACAAAGGGGGCTTATTACTACAAGGTTTGGGTTTGAAAGGAAGAAAAGCTTAGTCTTTCCACAAGCTCCTGAGACTGATGTTGATAATGGTCTTACCGTATATACTTGAGTGTAAACCGACCCGAATATCAGCTGAGGCACCTAATTGTACCACAAAAACTGAATTAAAATGTGCAGAAAAACTCGGCTTATACACGAGTATATATAGTACTCTGTTTTCAGTCCCTTGCTTGAAGTGGTGATAGTACTACATAGAAGGTAGATGGTTGGCCTATCTCCTGACTAGTTAGTCTGGGACTCCCTGTGTGTCGGCCAGATAATTCTGTTGCATTTTATAGCCATAGATGACGCCACTATCCCAGCCTACTACCATCGTTCAGACAGGATGGGTTTTCCAACAGTGACAGGAACAACCTGGGAGCTTCCGTAGTGGGACTTGAAGGTTTTGAGCAAGCTGTTTGTTGGGCATTAGAGAACTTTACCAAGGAATGAGTATTGCCGGGTGCAAGAGGTCAGTGATATAGTGGTTTAGGTTGGTTTCTTTTTTCTCTGTACAGTTGTTTACCAGTACATATGATTATGTACATTTAAAGCAAAATGTAATTCTGAGAATTGCAGAGTGGTTAATAGTAGGCTGTGGAGCCAGTCTGCCTGGGCTTAATTCCCAGGCTCTGTCATTTAATACATGTGTGATTTGGGGCAAGTTACTTGACTTCTCTTTACCTCACATCCCCCATCCATAAAATGGGGCAGTTACAGAGCTGGACAGGACCGACAGAAACGTCTGTGAAGCACCTGGGGCTTGGGGCATAAGGAATAGCCATTTGTTCCCAGCCACCTGATTTCTGTCCCTTCTGACAATCACTTTCTAGTGTATTCTTTGCAGACATATATGTACACACAATAAAACCAGCTAAAGTTGGCACCTGTATGGGGCAGAGTCAGAAATTGACAGGGGATGGCTAGACATCATCATTGACTCGATGGCTGAGAGAGTGAGTGTCAGGAGGAATCCGTCTTTGGAGAAACAAACATCTTGTTTGATAACATTTAATAAAGCTTGATAAAGTTTAATAACTGCTCCCAATGGTTTCATTGTGTTTTGTATGTGAATTAATATATATATGCATATACACACATACATGTCAGTTTTTGTACATGTCAGGATTTGTACAGTTATTTAACTGTTTTAAATAAATAATGTATGTTTTTAATAAGTACACTCGTGTAACTACCTTATGTAAGTGCATCTGAGTAAGATGCACCATTATCTTAGGTTTCGTTTAGTTAAACTGCAATTGTTTATCCTATGTCATTAAAGGGGGGGTGGGACAGTGGTATACATCTTTAAAAGCATGAAAGTCTTGGAATACAATAGTATTCTATGCCCTATAAACAAGCGGTATCAAACAATGCACATGGACCTTTCACTGCAAAACAATACATCTTAAGGAATTTTGTTCTTAATTTTTTACATTAGCATATAAAAAGCACGTGTCCACTTATAACAACTGCTTAGTATGCTTTTGTGTGGATTGATGGACATTTAGATTTAGTAGTTTTCTTCTTAATTTTTAAAAACATTATTTTACAAGTAGTACTACAGGGAGTAACCTGTGGACAGGTAATTTTAACTCATCTATCTGTGGATTATGTAGAATTGCTGAAGCAACTTTAGGTTTGTAATTTTTTGATAGCTTTTGTAAAATTAACTTCACAAAACTCTCAATTTACATTCCCATCACCAGTATTTCCCAAGCCCTTGCCACATTTGTCCCTCCCTGTTAGGTGCCCCGGAGGTGGTCAGATTCGTAGCAACTCCACGTACAGCAGCACACGTCCTGCCCCATCCTCAACCATCATTGCTCTATTTTGAGCCCATTGTTGCAGCCAGGTGTGTCATTTCATTTTGTTGAGGGCCTTGCTCTTTCACTGGCCCTCACTATCAAGCGAGATGTTTGTTTCCTCCTGATACTCACGCTCTCGCTGCCATCGAGTCAGTGCTGATGCATCATGACCCCCTGTGGGTTTCCGAGACTCACCATTTATAAGAGTAGAAAGCCCAGTCTTACTCTTATGGAGCTACTGGTGGTTTCGAACTGCTGACCCTGTGAATCACAGCCCAATGCATAACCACCACACCACCCGGGCTCCATGAGTCCTCCTGATAGTGTGTGCAAAGTTTGTGAGATGAAGTGTCACCATACTCACTTCTAAGGAGCATTTTGACTGGACTTCTTCTCAGGATGATTCTAACTGTACTCCCTCATGCTCTCACGCTGTGGGTTTCCGAGACTATAACTCTTTTCGGGATTAGAAGTCTTGCCCCCACAGCGTGGCTGGTGGTTTCAAACTGCTGACTGAGGTTAGCAGCCCAGTGCATAACCACTGTGCCACCTGTGCCCTCTGACTGTACAGATGTGTTTATTATTCTGGCCATCCAGAGTACATTCAATATTCTTAGCCAGCACCATAACTCAAAGACATCACTTCTTCAGCCCATCTGATTCATCGCCCAGCTTTGGTGTGCATATGAAGCAATTGAAAATACCATTACTCGGGTTGTACACAAGGTGTACTTGGTTCGTCCTGAAGGTGACATCTCTCCTTTTCAATATATAAGGAGGGGGTTTTTTTTGCAGCAAATCTGCCCAATAGATTCGATTTCTTGACTGGTGCTTCATGAGTGTTCATTGTGGATTCAAGTCAAATAAAATTCTTGGCAACTTCAAACCTTTTTCCATTTATCATGATGGTGCTTATCGGTTCATCTGTGAGTTGTTTTTGTTTGGTTTGATTTTTTTTCTGGGGTGTAGGTGGGGGTTATATGTCAATCATTATGATCAGTTTGTGTTTTGTTTTCATTTGAAATATTGGTGGCATGACTTCCAGCACCGCAGCAGTATATAAGCCACCACCATTCAACAGACTGATAGTCCAGGTGATGGGCCAAATGTGTGTCATTTTTATTGCCCCCTCCAAATAATAATAGTAATCATTTTCTCTTCTGGCTTCTTACTTTTCTCTTTTGTAGAATGTTCATGAAGAAGTCTTACAAGAATATAAGAAGATCAAGCAGGTAAGTGTTAGCACTATCAGGATTTTTTCACTTTTAGTTGGGAAATGTTATATACATCCTACAACCTGATTTCTCACTTTTTTCCTCTCATCTACAGTCTAGTCCCAATTACCATGAAGAAAAATACCGGTGCGAGTATCTTCACAACAAGCTGGCTCACATCAAAAGACTAATAGGTGAATTTGACCAGCAGCAAGCAGAGTCATGGCACTAGAAGTTCTGCTTGGACCAGAAGATGTGAATAAACTTAAGCTTATTTATTTAAAGCTCCAAATGAGTTGCTCTAAGAGTCTCAAGAAATGAAACTTTGCCTGTTGAAAGTTTCAAGATATGTAAACTTGAGTTACTTTTTTTTTTCTTTTTACTTTGCTTCCCTGCATTTTTGAAGCTGCTTTTTCTGTTTTTTTGTTTTGTTTTTGTCTTTTTTTTTTAGTCTCAAGATTTCTGTTTGCCAATAGAAATACATTTTTAAGATATTGGGGATCCAGTGTCTATAATTCAAATCAATATTTTTTCCTCAAAAACTTGTGTTTATCATTAGAAATGATTTTTTAAAAGATATTGGGGATCCAATGTCCACACTCTAAAGTTGTGTGTGTTTAAAAGCAACACAACACTGTGCAAGATGAAATGCTTTGGGGAAACATAAACCTATTTACAGACCTTTCTTAAAGCAAACTTTTGCCTTAAATGGGTAGAACCTTTAGAAATTTGCACAATACAAAAAAAAAATATTTTTAAACATTGTTTTGGAGGGTTAAGATATAGACAGGTGTATGAATATGCGTATGCAGACATACATAAACTTGTGTATACAGACTCACTTGATGTAGAACAGGAAAACCACCCTGCAAGTTAACCCCCCATTGCAATTGTTGCCTTAAGGTGTTTGCTAGTTGTGTACATAGTGTGGTTAATAATTATCTACACTGCTTCCCACTCGGTTAGAGCAATGGGAAGCACCTTGTGGCCTACCAGCGTCTGAAAGCGTGTGCTCGGACCGTATGTGTGCGGAGGTTGTATGGATGTAAGCATGCCTGAAGGAAAAAGCTGCTACTCTGAAGTAGGCCAGGCGCTCAGGTTCAACAACTGACGAGTGTTACTGTAGGGTTTTTTTTTTTTTTCCTTTTTGGTTTTGTTTTTTTGTTTTTTTCTGTCAAATTCCTACTTCTATTATGGAAGACATAAGCATTTCCATTTCAACAGTTCGTCAGCTTTATTAATGTTGGGCAAAAATCAATATGATGAAAATGAAACAGATCTATAGTTTTGGGGCAAAATTATAAAATCAAACATGTAGGCAACCTATTTATATACTGCTATAAAGTATTTTTTTTGAAGAGAGATATGCAAAGAAGCTATTGCCTACATGAAATGTATATTTAAAGATTTTTTGTTGTTGTTCCTCCTGGGTACCAGGAATATAAACAAAGAGCAGATATATTTAACCATAACATACTGTGATTCATCAAAACAGCACAAACTCTCATTTCATGGAGTTTATCTGTTGACTTTGATTTAAACTATCACTTGTTTTATCATGTGGGAACATAAGTTATGTAAAGGTTTTGAACTAATGATTCAAGTTGTGTTGTCTTATCGTATTGTCTTTTCAAAGTGCTGCCATTTGAAAAGGGAAGCATTATGTTTACAAATCTGTTTTGAAATGTTTGCCAAAATTTTGGTAGTATCTTTAATAAAGATGTTTGTCTCCAGCATCCCAAAAAAATAAATAACTTGGTTGTGTATCACTGTAAACAAAATGTTTGTGTCTAGAAAACCTGGGAGGACATGTGAACGAACTCCTCTCTTTGGCATTCTTCTGAAAACATTGACTGGGAAGATCGGATTGTACAGCAGAAGTTGACACAGTGACAGACTGAGCGAGAGCCTTTGCACTATAATAACTCTGTAACATTTTATAGATACAATTTTATTTCTGTCAAGCATAGACTTCCTAGAGAATTATATTAATTTCAACATTGAAATCCCTGGTGCTCTCCCTTTTATATCAGAATTGGTACAATTAGTATTAAACGTTACATGAGTTGAAAATTTTATCCAAAAAACATTGGCAAGAAACACCAGTTAGGGGTAAGTTTGGTCTTCACGTTATTATAGTGGAGCCTCCTGAGGAGTTTGTTTATAGATAATAAACTTGGACATCTTCATCTTTTTAATCAAAGATTATTTGCTGCTATTTTCTGTAAGCAATGTTTCTCAAAAGCAGGGTGCTTGGCCACTTGTACCTTCCAATTTAGATTCTCTGGGTATAGATGCAGCTGAAAACCTTTAGGTCATTCAATCTTGAACTAAAGTTCAACTATTAGTTTTGTCCAGGCCTTTTTTTTCCCCCTCTAGGGTAGGGTGGAAACCATCCATCCCTGTCAGCAGGTAAAATCATTTTTCCCATTTGCCTGATGTGAAACATCCCCTCAAGTTGTTTCCCTGCCAACTCAATCTTTTCAGAAACAAGCCCTTGAAACTCCTGTCCCCCTCATCAGCACATCTTCTGGTTTACAAGTTAGCTACCAAGGGAAACTCAAGATGATTTATGGGAACGCAGTCTTGCTCACTCATTGACTTGACCACCTACCTGTAAAAACCTTAATTCAGATGTTGCTTGTATACGTTGGGCAGAGGCCTGCAAAATATATGCCTGGCACTTTCATATTTGAGAATTGTAAATCCCTGAATCTGCTGTTACTGGAGGTGGCATCCCCTTTGCAAATGGGCGTGGGCCTATTAAACTATGGTTAGCCATTCATCTACTGTACGTTTTTTAGATTCTCTTGTGTTTGCTGCAGGAAGGCCGCCCACTTAGTACCATTTACTTGTGAGAAACAGTAAAGTGTAAAACAGTATCATCAAGATTAGTGAACAAGTTGTATTAGTTTTCATCACATATTTCACATGAAATCATTTGAAGCACTCTTGAAGATTTTCACTGCCACCCATAAATTAACTACAGATTGAGTGAAGGGATTAAGATTTAACTCAGTAGTGTTATGTGTTCCATCCTTGCTCTCACGAAAGCAACTGAGATAGCCTATTTATATCATTGCTACATGTATTGGTTATAAAAATTCAGTATTTTTTTTTTCTGATTAAACTTATAACCTTTACAGGAATTTCCTTTTTCTCTCAAAGTATTTCACTTTATGGTGTAAAACAAAAACCTGCTCATATGTTGGAAGCAAGGCATTGAACTGAGATATAAACGAAAATGATTTTATCAGTTCAGACACTGGTGGGTGGCCTTACCCTTTCTTTGCTTTGGTTGCCATTCTTTGCGTCCAGAAGGAACTTGGTTGGAACTGTAGGCAGTTCATGTCTTACTGGCTGTGTAAGTGTTGAGTCATGTATACTCGGCATATGCCTTTGCAACCTTTGAAGCTCTTACTGTTTGTTACTTGCCCAAGTGTTTCTAAACCATTTTCTTATGTGTACCTCATGGGACAAAGTATGGACAACATGTTTTGGAGAGGATATTAACTAACACTACTAAAGGAAGTCAACAGAAGATCTTATCAGTGTTCTTGGTAACCTGAAAAGAAGGCTGTGAGGCACATCTCTAAATTTTTTTCAAGTGTTTAAAAATATATATAACATTTATGCTGTTTTTCAGTTCTCAGATGTTTGACCCAAGCCATGTTAGTGCCACCCAAACCATGTTAGGGGTCTGGAAGGTGAATGATCACAGAGGCTCTTCAGTTGCTCCTGAGCTCAGCATCATGGTGGCCTCTAATGTTCTACACCAATTTTGGTTCAATAAAGGTGTTAACTTTGCAATCCTGGCACTTGTTTTCCCTTTGTTTTATTTGAAGCCACTTAATTTTATCTTTAAAAGAAGAAAACAACAAAGTGTTCTCTGGTCCATAAAGTAAATGACCTTCCTGGGACAGAGACGTCTTTTAGTGACTCTAGAAAGTAAGAACCAGAGTATTTACTTCTGGACCCTGCTGGTTCCTTAGTGTGGGACATGCCTTGTAGAGCCATACTGACAAAGAGAACAGTAATCAGTTACCATTTATTATGGATTGAATGTATAACCCCCCCCAAAATGTGTCACCATGATTCTCACTATGATGCAATGAGCCTTTGTTTTGTGGTTTGATGCAATTATCCTATTTGTTATAAACCCTAACCTGATTGAATTTAATCCTATGATTTTAATGAAGCCATGTTAATGAGACAGGATACAGTGTTATAGGATTAAGTAGACTCTTAAATCAATTTCCAAAAGAATATACCAGCAAGTTGAGATGGTAGGACATATCTATCACCAAAGAAGATCCAGAAGCAGAGTGCATCCTTTGGACCTGGGATTCCTGTTCTAAGAACCTACTAGTCCCAAGTTTTCCAAGGAATTCTAGACCTACAGCTAGTCAAAGGAGAGAAGGACCTTCCTCCAGAGAAGTCTTCTCCTAGAGCCAGCTCTCTGTATCTGGACTTCTAAATTTGAGAATATAAATTTATGTATTTTAAACCACCCAGTTTATTGCTGTAAAAGCAGCACTACATAACTAAGAATTTGGAACCAGGAGTTGGGTACTGCTCACCAGACCCCAAAAAACAAACTCACTGCCATAGAGTCAGTTCCAACTCAGAGTGGCCTTATAAGCCCAGGTAGAACTGCCCCTGTGGATTCCCAAGACTAATTCCGTATGGGAATAAAAAGCCTCATCTTTCTTCTGGCTGCTCTCACAGATGTCTAAAACGTGAAAGCAGTTTTGGAGTTCAGTCATTGAATACAGGCTGGGTGAGTTTTATGGAGCTTAATTGTACAATAGCAAGGATGTCACTTTGAAATCAAAGTTGTGCCTTCCCTAAGCCAGGTATTTTCAGTGGCCTCGTGTCCATTTGAAACTTGAACACTGAATAAAGAATACTAAAGAAAAATCAAATTATGGCAATGAAGAATATTGATGGTACCATAGACCACCAGAACAAACAAATCTGTCAGGGAGGAAATACAGCCATAATGCTTGCTACAAGAAGGCATGATGAGACTTCTCACATCTAGCTTGGAAGAAGTACAGCCAGAATGTCCCTTAGAGACGAGGACAGCAAGACTTTGTCGCATGTACTTTGGTCATGTCAAGGAGATCAGTCCCTGTAAAAGGACTTCATGCTTGGTTGTTTGGGAAAAAGTCTACATTGTCCTGAAAAGACCTGGTGGAATTATGGATGTCAAAGGCAATTCTAATGAGGGCTCAGATGGAAATGAGAGCGGTAACCCCTTAGAGATTGCATGGACATCGAGAAGCAGCAGGAGAGGAACCGTGGCAACAGAATCATGAGACAAGACAGCACAGCACAAGCCTACATAGTGAGAGAAATGAGTACCTTCAGGAAAGAGACTTCTTAGCAGGGTGGAGTGCCTCCAGGCACTTAGCAATCGACCTAAAGAACTTTGTAACACTTGCCCAAAGCAGGCTCGGTGCCAGGCTAGCTCAAGAAGCACAAGAGATGGAGGGTTCATGAGTCCAGGAAGAAATAGGGAGCAGAATCTGAACAACAGCACAGGCAACAAGCAGCTTCCTCTTTCTCCTAAGGAACTGCTGGTGGGTTCAAATTGTCGACCTTGTGGTTAGCAGCTCAAATGAGTAAGCCACTATGCCCCTAGGGCTCCGTTAGTGAGGTATGGTACAATCTACAGGATTAGGTTGTATCTTGAAACAATCTCTTAAAATATAAATCTCTTTTACAATCTCTTGTAAAAATGGAAAGTGATTAAGTAAGTGGCATGGAAGTGAATAAGTGAGCCAATATGGGAGGACCTGACTACCACCACGAAAGAAGAACCAAGAACAGAATACATCCTTTGGACCTGAGGTCCCTGTGTTGAGAAGCTTCTAGACCCAGGGGAAGATTGATCTCATGACACATGTAGATCTTAAAGAGGAGCCTTGCCCACAGATGTTGGGAGGAGATAGGACCTTCCTGCAGAACCAACAGAGGCAGCCTTCCTGCAGATCTGATGCTCTGCATTCAGACTGCCAACCTTCTAAAAGGGAAAAAGAACCAAAAATCTGTCATGGAAGAAGTGCATCCAGAACGCTCCTTAGAGGCAAGGATGGCAAGACCTCGTCTCTCATACTTTGGACATGTTGTCAGGAGAGACCAGTCCCTAGAGAAGGACATCACCCTTGGTAAAGCAGAGGGGCAGTGCATAAGAAGGCCCTTGGCAGTGACTTCAGCAATGGGCTCAGACATAAGAACAGCCGTGGGGGTGGCACAGGACTGGGCGGTGTTCCGTTCTGTTGTACAGAAGGTTGCTGAGTCAAAACCAGCTCTTTTTTTTTTTTTTTTTTTTGAGAAAATGTCCATAATGCTGAAAGATTTCTTTCGTCCATCCCATGTCCCCTTTCTTTTTCTACTTTGGGCAATCTTAACAAGAAAACAACAAACTGAACATTTTCCGATTTGTAAAGCCATCGAAGTGTGATATTGCTGTTACAGTAACACTTTGTAACTGAGACACCATTTACTGAGGGTTTCCTCCTCAGTGTTACACACTTCACAGGCTTGATCTCAGCTCTCTTCACCATCACCCTATTCTATAGGTGAGTCACCCATTTTGCAGGTGGATAGACTGAGGTTTAGAGATCTGAAGAAATGTGTCAGTCACACCACATTTTTGACCCTTTCTCCATAGAGCCCCTCATATGCTTGTACCTATGTCAGAGACTAGCCTTCCCTGGATGCTTAAGTCTAGTGACAGTGAAGGCTAGGCAAGTCTAAAAGCTAGTGATTGCTCTCAGTGGCTTCACTATGTCAGAAATGATAGAATGAATTTGAATGGAGGACCCAATACTTTTTGAGAACATGTCAGTTCTTAGGTGTCTCTCCTTCCCTGACCCCTAGCCCCTTTTCCGCTATACACAGTCTAACAATGGGGCAGGAGGAGGAGGGTGCAGTCTTGTGATCGCACAGAGGTCTATGAATGTTCAAAGGCTAGCTCCTTAATGTTCTAAGGCTAGCTTCTTTGGTCTGAATTGGGACATTTTCCTAGCTGAATCCTTCACTTCCCCCCTGTCAAAGTCTCCTAAAGGAGTAATAGAGAGAGAGAAGCTTCAATCAAGCATCCGCATTGAAAACATGGGAGGAGTGCCAGCGGGGACTGGTGACTGGTGTGGTTTCTGAAGAACCTCAGGATGGACAGGTCCTGATTTAATGGTGTCAGTCGCCCTCTCCAGCCCTTCCCCACTGGATACTGCGGGTGGTACATGCCTTTTAACTGGACTCCCTTGCCTCAGCTATAAAGTGAAAATAGGTTTCTTGACTGTCCTGGTGGTGCTATGGATTAGGATTTGGGCTGCTAACTACGAGGTTGATGGTTCAGACCCACCACCAGCTCCCCAGAGAAAGTTAAGGCTATTTGTACCTGTGAAGGTTTATAACCTCAGAAACCTCTATAGTATAGAGGGCCACTTTGAGTTCAGAATTAACTTGATGGCAGTGGGTTGGTTGGTTGGTTTGCAGGGCTGGTGGAGTGGTGGTTATACCTACATGTATGGATTATACTGGTTTTACCTCTAAGGATTCAGATGGAAGGCTGGCCTTGGCAGTAAGTAGCTCTGTAATCTGATTGCTTCATCCTCATGTTCGGGGTCAATGATTCTACTGCATGTAATGATGGACGTGTACCATTTTCAACCCTTGCCTGCCTACTTCAATTGGGCTGGCCAGGCTGGTTTTACTTTGGAATGAGATACTTGAAACAATGTGGGCATTTGTAGATGAACAATAAGAATTCCACATCTAGGCCTACGAACCCTAGGCCAGAGTTTCCTAAAAGCAAGCCAATGGAAATCCAACCCCTGTGTTGGAGTTGTGGACCTGGGTCTTCTGGTAGGACATCTGACTGCCTCTCTACCCATGCGCCCTACGGTCAGAATGGGATTATAGAATTCTACTATGGTCAAGGCAGGTAGCAATACTGGTTACGAGTCTCATTGGATGCCAAGCCACTGTGCATGCTAGTCACAGACCTTCCTTCGTGCTCCCAATCCCCCTGATCCACCTGTCCTGAGGGCATATGCTGTGCCCTCTGCACCTCCTACCCGACCAGTTCCTCACTTAGCTAACTCAAAATCTCAGCTTAAATATAATTTTCTCCGGGAAGCCTTCCCTAACTTCCAGACTAACTCAGATTGCCCTGGTAAAATGCTTTCTTTAATGGTATACATCTCCTTAACGGCATCTATCACAATCATCATTAAACACTGTTTGCATTATTTATTTAAGAAATTCTGTTAGTAGACAGGGACCAGGGGTGTCCCTCTCCATGTCTTGAGCCCCCCCGCCCCCCACTTAGCCAGCCATAAAGACTAACTGGGCATGCTCCAAAGTCAAGCCCCAGCCAGGTAGGCCGTATACCTCAGTGGGCCCAAACTAGACCAGGTGGACTTAATTCAGCCAATGGGGTCAACCAATACTTTCAACCATGCCTCCCAGCTGAATGCCCTCAATACCTGGACCTTGAGACCACCCAGCCCTTCGGCTGCTTCTCCATGCTGCCTCAGTTTCTCTCTATGGCCTCAGGCCACCGTGTGTGGTGTGCAATCCCAGAGGTTGCCCGTGTTCAGTGACTGTAAAACCTGAAACTTCTATCCTTTATAAAGCCCACTTTGATCACAAACCAGGCTTTTGCGTGAATTCTTTGTTGTGTGACGCCAAGAACCGAGGTTTTTTTTCTTGCCTGAGAAACCTAATAGTTCCACATGTGTTTCCAGCTCCTAGATTACTTAAGCACACACACACACACACACACTTCTAGTCAATCCTGACT